CGGGCAGGGAGGTGCGTGGGGAGTGCCGGAGCCGGGGCGCAGCGGCGGCCGGCGCGGATGTTAGAGAGGAGACGAGTCTACGTTACATGGGGAGGGGGCGCGGGGGTCCAGTCGAGTCGCGCATCCCGGGAATCCGAGCACTGAGATGGGTCAGGGAGGCCGGCGATGCCTGTGGGTGAGGCAGCTCCTCAGAGGGAGAGCTGGTGGGGCTCAGCACAGGCATTGCTCCTGCTCCCCCTCCTCTAGAAGCCCCAGGGATCACAACTCCATCCTTCAGTGATGGATCAGGCAGCCAGGGCACTGCACTGGGGCACCAGCTCCAAACCCCACTCCCACCCCAGGGACCACCAGCCCCTCACAGACCTCACTTGATGAGGATCCCCGTGGGCCGGGCCTCGTCCTCGCTGGCGTTCCTCAGGTTCTGCTCCGCTTCCTCCGAGGACCTGGGGCAGAGCAGGGTGAGAGGCACTGCCACGGCCCCTCAGCATCTCTTACCCCATTCCCACCCCACTCACGCCAGGAAATCCTTCACTTCCTCCACGGTGATGTCCCCGGTGGTGTCCAGCGGGTTCTCCATGCTGCTGTTGGGGGAGTCGATGGGGCCGGGCGAGAAGGCAGCCGGGTGCTCCTCAGGGGACCCTGGGGAGTCATGGGACAGGAGGGGTTGGGGACAGCCAGGACACAGAGGCAGGCTCGGAGCAGGGCTGTGGGACACAGTGTGTGTGCAGGGACAGGGTGGTCACTCACGGTCGCTGTCCGAGGGGGAGGGCTGGCCCTCGGAGCCGCGTGGGACGTGGGTGCCGTTCGCCTGTGGCAGCTTGGGTGTCACCGTCGAGCTGTTGCTGGAAGGCAACAGGGAGAAGTTATGGCCAGAACCAGTGTCCTGGGGTGGGTGTACAGGGGTTCCACCACAGCAAAGCCCCCCACACCCCCGAGACAGCCCACCTGAGGCAGGAGGTGTCCTGGAGCCGGGCGATCTCCAGCCGGCACAGTGGCTCCGTCACATTCCTGGCGCTCAGCGAGAAGCGCTCGAACTCCGATGGTGAAATTAGGTAGAAACCTGCAGGGGGGGACAACAAGGAGCCTCAGGGATCCACCACAGGGCTGCAGGTGAGGTCAACATCCCATCAACACAGATGTCACCTGTGTCCTCACCTTGGCCGTGCTTGGTGAAGACACAGGAGGCAATGCCACTGATGTCCTCCTTACGGATGCAGCTGTAGTGGACCTGGGGCCGCAGGCTGGGCACGGTGAAGATGTGGATGTCCCCCAGGTTGGTGAGACAGGCCAGGCAGTTTTCCAGCCGCTCCTCGGAGCCAGCGCTGGCCAGGCTCACCAGAGCCACCTTCCGCACCCGGCAGCCCTCATGTGCTGTCAGCTTGAACTTGGTCTTGGCACTCACTTTGGGCAGCGTAAACACCTGGAGGGGCAAGAGGAGCCAGGCTCGGGAGGACGGGAACCTGCAGGGTTTAGGGGAGCACCTTCCCCTTGGATTCACCACCCTAGCACAGGCACAGGAGAGCCCCAAAAGCCGACTGGTCACCTCCAGTCCCTGTGTGATGAGGACATCCAAAGAGGACGTGGGACATTTTGTGGGACGCTGAGCCCCGCGCTCACCTTGAACTGTTCCTCGGAGGAGATGAGCATGGAGTGGCTGCCCTGCATGTCGGGGGCCTTGGCCAGGTCCCGAGACACCTCGTAGGGCTCGGGCAGGGGGTTCCCCCGCCCGTCCAGCACCGCAATGGCCACCACCGGTGCCCGGTGCATCAGCTGGATCTCCTTCCCCAGCACCGCCTCCACCGCCCGCTCCGAGAACTTCTCCTGCGATGGCACCTCCAGGGCGTAGGCAAACACCGACCCAGAATTGGTCCCTGCCCACATCGTGGGGCCGTGGTGGGCGGCTGTGGGGGTGGAGCAGTGTCAGAGCCCCCTCCCCAAAACCCCAGCTTGGGGGCTTTTCCCGGGGAGGGAGGGGGTCTCACCATCACGGAGGAAGGTGTCGGCGAAGTAGAGGCACCGCACGACCCCCGAAAGCGAATCATCGGCCGAGCGAGGCTCGATCCGCCGCTGCACCGGCGTCATCTCCACCTCGGGGGGGCCCGCCTGCTCTGCCAGCTGCGCGTTGGCCTCCTGCACCTGGGGAGGGGACACGGGGTCAGTTCCTGATTCCCGGGGATGGGAAGCTGCCACGGTGGCCCCCACTCCCTGCCCACCTTGCTGGAGGGGCTGCTGGCGTTGAGCCTCTTCTTGCCTGACACGCGGCTCTTGCGGATGCGGCGGAAGGACTGGCGCAGGGACTTCTTGAGGGACTTCACGCGGGACAGGGGCCCCTCCATGGCCAGCGAGTCGTTGGGGTGCAGCGTACACCTGCGGGCACCCACCCTGCTCAGCACCCACATCACACCAGGGGCCCCCCAGCAGCAAGGTACCCCCATACCTGGCCAGCACGGGGTTGCGCCGGTAGTAGTCGAAGAGCCCGAAGCCGTGGCTGGTGCCGAAGGCCACGAGGTTCCACTCGGAGTGGAGGGTGACGGCGGTGACGGCGGCGGGGGGCACGCACTGCACCAGCACGCTGGGCTGGAAGCCAGGGGGGAAGTGGAGGGGCCCGTTCCGGGGGGCCAGCCGGTCGTGGCCTTTCCAGGTGAAGCCCTCACGGTCCTGCAGCAGGTCCACGGTGGCCACGCTGACCGCGTGCTCTGACTTCTCATCGCTCAGCTCCATCACCAGCACCTGCAGGGACAGCACAGACAGAGGGACACGCTGGATCCCCCCCCAAGACAGACAGACAGCCACACACCAGGGACTAAACCCAGGGTAGGAGCCCTTCAAGGACAACTGTGGAGGTCTGCAGGGTTTGTAGCCCCCCTCAAGCTGTGGGTCCCCAACAGGGCAGCCAAGAGGTGCTCGGCAGCCCCTGCTCTGTCCGTGCCACCTTACCTGCCCCGCCGTGCCAGCCACCACCATCTTGGCCGTGTACTTGCAGAGCGCGATCTTCTGCACGCCCAGGCGCGGGTCATCGCTGTAGGGATCAAAGCAGCCCACCTGCGGGAGGGGACAGCTGAAGGGACAGCCAGGACCCCACACACAGCTGTGGGGCAGCCCCCCCTGCACCCCACACCCCTCCACCAGCTGTGGCACACGGGCCACTCTGGGCATCACGCCCAGGAGGAGCCTGTCCCCACGCAGCCCCTGGCTCTTTCCCCCATGCTGGGGCAGACCCACGGGACGGGGCCCACGGAACAAGCGTCCCTTGTGTCCCCACAGCGCGTCACACAGCAGCTGTGCCCTGAGCCGGGGGACACGTCCCCGGGGCGCAGCCGGGATGGCTCCGGCAGGTGCATCCCCCGTGCCCAGCTCTGGGTTTGGCCCCTCCAGCGCTGGCAGAGCCAGGAGGGTGCAGAGGCGTCACCCTGCCCAGGGGACCTCACCTTGCGGAACGGAGGCCACTCCTCCTCGCCCGCCTGGTTGAGGCTGTCGTTGTGCTCACAGTCTGTCTGGAAGATGTTGGCGGTGCCCAGCTTGTAGAGGGGCTTCAGGGAGACCCCCGAGGCGTCCCAGAACCGCACCGTGCCATCCTCGTGCCTGGGCGGGGGGGTCCTGTCAGCGTGGGGCCCCAACATCTGCCCGGCTAACAAGAGCTGCCTGTGTGCTGGCAGCCACCGTGCCAGAGGGGGAGCACCACGGGGGACAGTGCAGAGGGTGACACACTCATACCCAGCCAGAAAAAGAGGCAGCCCGCCCAAAAAGAAGGGCATCACCACCCCATCCCATTCCCCACCACAGGAATGGGTGTAGATGTGTCCCCTGGCATTTTGGGTTTCTCAGGCTTCCTCCCTGCTGCCAGCACACTCACCCAGTGAGGAGAAGCCCCCGCTGTGTGGGCTCCTGGGCCAGGTTCTTTCCCCCATCAATGGGCCAAGCCTGGAAGGAGGGATGGAGAGGGGATGGAGGGTTGAAGCCCACAGGAAGGGGCTCAGCAGGACCCCTCCCCACCATCCCCATCACTGACCGCAGAGGATTGCCGGGGGCTCTGCTGCTCGCCCACACTGACGATCCTCTCCCAAAGCTTGAGGGGCACGTTGGAGACGTGGCAGGAGCAGGTGATGGCAGAGGAGTGGAGAGGTGCCAGGTACGGGGCAGGGATAGTGGGCCAGCCCGGCGTCTGCAGGTCGATGGCCACCAGCTCCTCCTCCACCAGCACCACGAGGGCTCGGGGGTTCTCAAAGCCTGGGGAGGGGTGAGATGGCTGCTGCACGTGGGGACCCCCACACCATCACCCGCTGCCCAGAGTGGCCCTGGCAGGACGTACCTCCCTCGGGCACCTCTGCGCTCTGCACGGTGAAGAAGTCAATGACACGGGAGGTGAAGTCGAGCGTGGCCAGGGTCTGGCCCTGCAGCACGCTGACACAGTGCCTGTCACCGTAGCTGGCCCGTGGCATCCCCCCACTGAAGATGATGAAGGGGTTCCTGGGTGGGATGAAGCAGCTGCCATCAGACCCTGGACTCCCAAGTGCTCCCTTTGCCCATGTCCAGCCCACCCACCTACCCCGACTCGCAGGTTCGCCAGAGGATTTTGCTGATGGCTTTGCAAGGGAACGGCCCTGAAACAGAGACACCGACACTGTGGTTGTAGCACTGGGATGGGGAGGGGATCAGCTCCCGACCCCAGAGCCCCCCAGACCCCATCCTGTACCGTAGGGGATGGTGGACATGACGGGCTGCTGGCTCCTCTGGCCGGTGCCGCTCGCTGCCCACACCATGTAGCCGCCGTCGCTGTGGGAGCTGACGATGCTGCTCCCGCCCTGCTCCCAGGCCAGGCTCTCCAGCTGCTGCGGGGGCACACGGGGGGCTCAGCACTTGGATGGGGGCACACACACAGGGCCACAGCCCCACCAGCCCCACGCCAGCCCCGGTACCTGGTTCCCCAGGAAGAGATGCTGGACAACACGAGTGCTCTGCTCCCACAGGACCACCAGCCCCCGGCTGTAGCCGATGAGGAGCCGGCTGCCGATGCGTGGGTGCTCCTGGATGGACTCCACGGGCCCCAGCGCCTTCCCGCAGCGGTAGTCATCGGGGACACTGCGGGGGGACATGCACAGGGGGTCAGAGGGGGGCTGGGGGTGCTGGGGACAGGGCATGGGGGCTGCAGGGCTCTCACCTCTGCAGGATCTCATCTGGGAAGAGAGTTTTGTCTTCCAGCAGCGTCAGGGTGGGCAGGGTGACGAAGTACACGGCACCACCCTCAGTGCCGACAGCCATTAGAGGCCATTAATCATCCCCAGGCCCTGCCAGTGCCATAAAAAGTCCAGAGCTGTTCCCTGCACTCAGCATCTCAGTTGGGATCAGAGGAGCATCCCAGTGGGGAAAACACCATCATGGAGAGGACCTTGGCCACCATCCCGCCCGGGGAGGCCGGCAGCTCCCACGCGCCGTTCCCAGCTGGCAGTGGCACCGCTGCGGCC